CCTCCTGGTGCCAGCACACACAACTGTGGGGCTCCCTTATTTGTCCAGCTCCCCGTTCCAAGCCCCGTCCACCTGGTAATGATTTCCTAGAGAGTTTCCCAGGGGTCTCCATGGGGACGTTTCCTGCACCAGTCTCCATGGCAACTCTTGAGGTTGCCATGGTGACACTTAAGCGATTATCTGGAAACACTTAAATAAATCACCCATGGTGGTATAGGCTACAAGCGCTTGGCTCCGGCTCTCCTGTCAGGAACCAGCGTTGGGGCCAGGCCTGCAGGCAGGAATGGGAGGCAGGGAGGAGTGGTCCTGGCCCAGTCGTGCTGGGTCTGGCCCTGTGAGGGGCCTTCTCTGGGCCTTCTGCCTTTTGTGAGAAGAAGATGCAGTCAGGCCGTGCAATCCTTGAATGAGAGAGAACCTGCGCAAGGATGCCCTCAACAAGACTGTGAGCCGGGACCAGGGGAGCTGTGAGCCCAGAACAAACGTGACTGAGCAGGGATCTGACCAGGCCTGCAGGGCTCCAACGCTCGTTCTTCTCTCTGCCGCTAAATTTTAAGAGGGAACTTAAGAACCAACTCGCTCATTTATTTACATATTTATTCCACTAGTATTTTTAAAGCACCTCGAGCTACATCCAAAAAATCAGCCATTGAAAACCCTATGGAGCACAAGTCTACTCTGACAAAATGGGTCACAAGGTGGGAGCTGACTTGATGGCAACTGGTTTTGGTTTACTATATGCCAGGCACCATGTTAAGCACTGGGGACAAAGCAGTGAATAAAACAAACAGAAACCCCTGTCCTCGTGGAGCTCACTACTGGGGAAGATGCAGATAATTAGCAAGTTGGATGGTGGTTTGTGTTACAGAGAAAAACCAACCAGGGCAGGGAGCTAGCGAACGTCAGGACAGATGTAGCACACACTCCCACAGGGCTGGGGGCCTGGGCCCAGGACACGGCTGGCTCCAGGTCTCAAGACAATTCCCGAAAGAGAGGAGGCTGAGGAGTGAAGGGAACTGGAAGACTGAGGCCCTGTGAGCAGTGACTGGTGTCTTCCACGTGTTCGGGCAGCTTGCCTTCCGGCTTCCTGGATGCCTCACAAGATCCTCTGAAGCACAGACACAGCAGGGAGTTTAATCTTCATCTTAGAGACTAGGTTACTGAGACCAGAGGCCTAAGGCAGTGCTGTGAATGGAGCGCAGAGCCGTGACCAGGATTCGAGTCTTCAGTATCTTAGTCCAGGGCCATTTCTGCGGGGCCAGTGGATTTACAAGTTTGTGGATCCATACTTAGGCCAGCACTGTCCTACTGAAGGCTAAGGAAGATGCCTGTCTTATACACCTGGGAGACTGCTGTAGTCTACCTGGGGAGAGTTTGGTTGATTTTAATTCTAACACGAACCTCAGGTGATTATGACATGCTTCCCTCAAATGGAACCTTATCACAAAGTCATGAATGCCCAACACGTCAGATGAATGAACTGGTCAGTTCCTTCCTCCGCAGTGGCACACAGGGACATGACTCTTCTAACCCTGGCCCCCCTGGCCCCCAGATACTCCTCCAGAAAATGAAGATGCATGAAGCACAGGCCTAAGGCCTGGGGAACCCCAGAAGCTTTCAAAGGAGGACTTAAGACTGGAGTCTTTGTACGCTGGGCTTGCTCTGTCTTTTCTATTAACGAAAAAAACCAGACCAGTTGCTGTCAAGTCAGTTCTGACTCTTGGCGACCCCATGTGTGTCAGAGGAGAACTGTGCTCCACAGGGTTTTCTTTTTTAATTTTTATTTTTTTCTTGTTGAGAATATACACAGCAAAACATACACCAGTTCAACAGTTTCTACATGCAAGCTCTTAAGACCCTGGGAACTACACAAAGAATTAGGAGGTAGAACAGAAGTACTAAACATGTTATCAGGCCAATTAACTGGGATGTCCCACGAAACCATGACCCTAAAACTCCAAACTAAGGAACCAAATCCCATGAGGTGTTTGGTCGTACATAAGCAGCCTCTGCAGCTTTTTTTTGGTCATTGTTGTAAATATATCTATCATACAATGTTTGCCAATTTAACACTTTTTACAAGTGACAACTTATTGGCAGTAATTACAATAATTGGCTGTGCAACCCCACCCTTAATCAACTTGGTGTTTCCATCACCGTGAATCCTCCTTTCCCCTTCTCTCCCGCCCCTGGTAATGACTAATAAACTTTGTTCTCTATACATTTGCCTTTTTTGTCTTTTTACATAAGTGAGGTCATACAATATTTGTCCTTTTGGTGTTGATTGACTTATTTAACTCAGCATAACCTTTTCCAGCTCTACCCATATTGTAGCATGTATCAAGACTTCATTTTTCCTACTGGCTGAGTACTATTCCATTGTACCTATGTAGCACACGGTGTTTATCCATTCATCTGTTGATGGGCATTTAGGTTGTTTCCACCTTTTGGCTACTGTGAATTGTGCTTCAATGAACATTGGTGTACAAGTCTCTTTGAGTCTCTGCTTTCAAGACTTTGGGGCATATACCTAGGAGTGGAATTGCTGGGTCATATGATAGTTCTATTTTTAGTTTTTTGAGAAATCACCACACTGTTTTCCACAATGGCTGTACTATTTTGCATTCTCACAGGCAATGGTCAAGGGTTCCAATTTCCCCACATCCTCATCAACACTTATTTTCTCTCTCTTTTCTATCTTAGCTATCCTAGTAGGAGTGAAATGGTTATCTCACTGTAGTTTTGATTTGCATCTCTCTGATGGTTAATGATGCTAAGCATTTTTTCATGTGTCTGGTGGCCATCTGAATGTCCTCTTTGGTGAATGTCTATCCAAGTCCATTGCCCATTTTATGATTAGGTTATTTGTCTTTTTGTTGTTAAGTTGTCAAAGTGTTACATAGTGTTTTCAATGGCTGATTTTTCAGAAGCAGATAGTCAGATCTTTGGAAGAGTCTCTGGGTGGATTTGAACCTCCGATCTTTGCGGTGTTAACCATTTGCACCACCCAGGGACTCCTTTGTGTGGACTGTTGCGGTTATTGTACGCTGCAGACTCAATTCTGACTCATAGTGACCCAATGTGACAGAGGAGAACTTCCCTCATAGGGTTTCCTAGGCTGTAATTTTTACCAGAACAGACTGCCAGGTCTTTTTTCCTACGGAGCAGCTGGGTGGGTTTGAACCACAGACCTTTCAGTTAACAGCCAAGCACTTAACCACTGCACCACCAGAGCTCCTGATTCTCTGTGGATTATTCACCTTCAAATAGGCCTCGGGTTTTGGGAGAGGTTAACAGACAACAGAAAAGTTTCTTGGATGGTGAGTGGAGGAGCTGAGAGGTCAAGCGTGGGAAGGGTAGGCTGCTGGCACTCTCTGGGTTCTAAGCTCTGGAGACATTTGCTCAAAGACATTTGGGAAAGGGTGTGATTGGTTCCAACAAACGTAGCTTATAATTACACATTTGTTTACAGTCTCTTCCACTGATATGAACGCTGTAGCCACCTGCCACATATGGGAGTCCCTGGGTGGTATAAACGGTTAACTTGCTCAGATTATAACCAAAGGGTTGGAGGTTCGAGCTCATCCAGAGGAACTCTGAAAGAAAAGCCTGGTGATCTACTTCCAAAAAATCAGCCATTGAAAACCCTAGGGAACACAGTTCTACTCCAGCACTCATGGGGTCGCTATGAGTTGGAATCGTCTCCATGGCAACTGGTTTTAGCCACATCTGGCTGTTGAGCACTTGAAACTTGAGATATGCTGTTCTGTGTGAAACACACTGAATTTTGAAAACTTAGCATGAAAAGGATATAAAATATCTCATTAATAATTTTTATATTGATCACATGTTGGAATGATATTTTGGATAAGCTGGGTTAAATAAAATATATCATTAAAAATAGTTTCACCAGTTTCTATTAGTATTTTTTCAATGAGGCTACTAGAAATTTAAAAATTACCTGTGTGACTTGTATTATATCTCCACTGGATAGTGCTGGCTAGACTGTCATCTCAGAAGGAAAGGGGCCAGGGCAGGTATGCTCACTACTCTATACCTAGCACCTGGTATTGAGCCAGGACACAGTAGGTGAACAATCAACAGTATTTGTGGAATGAATGTTTGACAGCCACATTTCCACTGGCCCAGAGGCATTCTGAACAGCCTGCTAAGGGTATGTGGTCTAATTTAAATATCAGCTTATTAAAACACAACTCAGTCGTAAAATCCGCAAGGAAGGGAAAGGAAAAGGGAGAGTGAGGGGGTCAGGGTCTTAGTCCTTTTCTTATGAGGTTTCTTGGTCCCCTGGGTGGTTCTCCACCCTCTACCCCAGCAACACTCCTAATGCAAGGGACTTAGGGGATTTCTGACCTTTGTCAGGCAAAAAAAAAAAAAAAAAAAAAAAAAAAGTCCTGATACACCAGAGGCAGAGACATAATTGTTTCCCAATTCCTACTCTCCCTTTCTTCTTTGCCTCTATTTTTAGCTGGGCGCGTGGTCAGACAGAATCAAAGCTACATCTTCCAGCCTCCCTGGAAGCTGGGCTTGGGTATGTAAGTTCTGGCGGAAGGATGTAAACAGAAGTGTCAAGTAACTTTGGGACCTTTCCTTAAAGGGAAGTGCTATGCCTTTCTTCTTCCCCTTCTCCTGACTGGACAGCCTGGCACGTGGGCACATCTTGGATCAAGAGGGATGAGACAGGGCATCTCCTAGGGATGGTGGACAGAGGCTGGAAGCAGCCTGGGTCCCTGACACCTTTGTGGAGTTGCCACGTCAGCCCAGGGATGCCCACCTCTGGCCTTTGTATGTCAGAAAACAAAATCTTAGGTATTCAAGGCTGTGTTCATTTGAATCCTGGTGACACAGTGGTTAAGCACTTGACTACTAACTGAAAGGCCAGTGGTTTGAAACCACCAGCCACTCTGTGGGAGAAAGACGTGGCAGTCTGCTTCTGTAAAGATTTACAGCTTTGGAAACCTACAGGGCACTTCTACTTTGTCCTACAGGGTCGCTATGAGTCAGAATCAACTCGAAGGCAGCGGGTTTGGTCTTTGGTTTTTTGCCGTAACTGGTAACAATACCCCTTCTCCAGAGCAGCTGGCGTCTCCCTGCTTCAATTTCTCGTAACTGGAAGGGGCCACTCAACTACTTCCAGAGCAGACGCTCAAGGACTTCCCAGGGCAAAGCCTGCTCCGAGATGACCTGGTTTCCTTAACATCAGATATTGACTAAACAAACAAAATGACAATCCCTTCAGCAGGTACCAACTTAGAAAGGTACAAAAGACCACAGAGCGAAAAATAAGTCACCTCCTACCTCTCCTCCATCCTTCAGTCACTCAGTTCTTATCCCCGGAAGCAACCACTATTACCATTTTCTTAATACATCCTTTACTAATGACTTTAAAATGGCAACTTCTCTGTTAAAAGAAAAAAAAGTTAAGTTATACCTCATGGGACACTCTGTTGCATGATGAATCTATCTAAATAAATACATAAATATCCATATCTCTATATAAAAACCAATCAACCTATCTATGTCATTTATTCTGGTCATACACCCACGACTCTGAGATCACATTTACCAGATTAAAATGTTGAAGCCCAACAACACGACTGCCAACGTCAGCCCCCTTCGCAGCCTTCTTTCTCCTAGTGTAAAACACTTCCCAGGAAACACTGACTAAGCAGACAGTGGGGGCAGGAGTTATGTCTACGGAGGCCTGATCCCCAAGGCCACCAAGGACAGCTCCATCTGGGAGAATTAAAAAGGATCAGGATTTACAATGTTTTTCAGTAAAAACAGTAACAGTCACGATAACTGAAAAAGTTTAATGGATGTGTCCTGTGTGTCAGGCACTATGCTAAGACCTTTGTATGCGTAATAACATTTAAACCTCACAGTGACCCTATGAGTTAGGTACTATTATTATTCCGATTTTATGACGAGTAGAGTGAAGCAAGAAGAGATGAAGCCATTAGTCTGAGGTTATTGGCTAGAAAGAGGGAGGAGGGCTTTGAATCCCACCATCTGATCAGAGAATCTAGGCTCTTAAACACTAGATAGCCACCAGCCATACGAAGGCTGGGTTTGTCATCACCGCTTCTTCCCCAGAACCTGGTATACCACCTGGCACAGAGCAACTCAGCAAATATTCATGCATGTAAATGTCCACTCATTGACAATGCTAACATGCTGGGGGGGGCAGAGGATGGCAGCATCCTTTTTGTGACTGCAGGCTTGTGCTCTTTGTTTAGGGGACCCTCTAGAACTGGGGCCCAAGAGGAAGGCAAACTAGGGGCATGAAGGCCTCTGGAGGGAGGCATTGGAACCAGGGGCCTGGGCAGGCTCAGAGGGATCGGGATGAGGCCTGATGCGTCAAGTCTACCCCAGAATCAAGCCCTCCAATTCTGCAGCTCTGACCCCAGACTGTGACGGACACATTTGTGCCAAGTATAAGCCTGAATCCCTGTTCTACTTCCTTTTGCTGAAGAATTCTTTTTTAGATGCTTTAATAAGTGAATACCTGATTTGCCTGTACACTGCTATATTCCTAGTACCTACAACAGTGCCTCTGACCAATATTTGTTGAACGAATGAATGAATGAATGAATTGTTAAGCCAGGCACCCAAGCCTAGCCAGGGAATACTTCCAGTGCATGAGTTCAGGAGACATCTGATTGCCTCCCACTGGGTTTGAATCAGCTACGTCACCGGAGGCGAGCCTAGCTCCCTCATTTCTAAGTCAGCGGGGTAGAGTGGGCACTCACTGGCTGACCTCCAGCACCCAGACACTGGCTTGTGGCAAGGGAGGCCTCTATGCATATCCCAATCACCGTCTCACAACCCACAAGGATGACTCTGCTAGAGTTTAATGTATAGCAAGTTTTCCTTCTTTTGAGTTCTGGTAGAAAAATAAGAGCTCTGCCAAGAGACAGAAAATATGCAAGAATAAATTATCATTATACAGTGTCAGGTTCAATCAGATGTGAATCAATGTGAGCACACGTGGATAAAGCTGCAACAGAAATCCAGCACCGTAATTTAACTCCGGCCCAGACGCTGAAAGGCTCCAGGTCATCTCGCTTCACTCCTGAGTGCTGAAAAAGCAGGGGTTGTAACAGTCAAACAGCTATTTTAATCCCTTTGTACAAGACATGTGAAAAGGCCAAGGATGGGACAGATCACGCGTCAGAAATATGTATCTGTTGATGGATGAGATGGAATTTAAATGCGTTTTCTTGTTTCTTCCAGAAAGGCACAGGAGTAAAACCCTCACCTTCTATTGCACTGCCTTGTGAGAATGTATTTCTATCTGCCTTGAGCTTTGTGCTCACATAAAACCAAACACCAGGCCAGAGCAGATGATCACATCAGGGAGAAGACACTGAACACCCAGCCAGAGAACTAACAGTGGGGAACAGAGTAGGGCTAACCATCAGCCTTGCCCATGTCAGGGTCCCACAGTGCCACACAGGAGGGCCTGGCTTCACCTGGTGATGTCACCCTAGTCTGATCTAAACCCGACTGTGCCTCTGCATCTGTGACGATCAGACGCCTCACTCATTCAAGCGGGCTGCAGCTCCCACCGTCCTCACACCCACAGCAGCACACTGCTGCCGGGGCCTCCTCTACTGCAAGTGTGTCACACAGGAGAGTGGGTGCTGGTGCTCCCTCCTGCCGTTTAATTCTGCCCTCCCCTGCGGCTTATGCTCCGTAACTTCCCAGGTAGCTACGTGGGGCTCTCTCAGGTTGCATGGGAAGTAATGACCTCACTGAGGTCTCAAGTGGACACCCTGAATTGTATTTGTTTAAGGATTCAATCCTTCAACTTGAACCAGGCTCGCTCAGTTCAAAGACATGGGGGTGAGGGGGTGAACACTAAGATAAATGGCATTTTTTTGGTCACTGATGATGCCCTGAGAGAAGTTCATGGACCAACCTATGGGTTCAGGGAGACTGCAGAGCTAAATGGTAATCTTTAATAGAATTTCTCTGAGCATTGCTCATAACTCCTGTCAAGAATTTATAATTCAGAATCCCACCAGTATGGGAGAGAAAGCATTCACTCTATGCAGATTCAAGAACCAATGGTTATACTCGGTACCCCAGCAGCATTAGCCCACAACTTGGTGAAAACTTGAAGAATGTAAATTTAATCCCATAAAAGACTGCTTGAATTCTGCAGGCCTCCCTAACTTTTCTTTAATTACGTCCATCTCTTTAATCATCCAAACCATCTTCTTGCTCAGCAATAAACTCTTTGGTTTTAGCTGCTATTTCTTCCAGTGGCTGACAGAGTTAGACACGTTGGCTGTATTATTTCAGGAGTAGACAAGAAGTGTGCGCGGAACAAGAAAGTAGGGTGTGTGGGACAAGAAAGCAGGAAGTACGTGGGACAAGAAAGTTGGGTTGAATCCCCATTTTTAATTGTCATCTCACTCCCAACTAAGCCACCTTGGTTTTCGAGGCCCCAGCAGGTAGGAAGGAAGCACCAGAACAATGGCGCTCGGCTCTGGGTAGGGAAGGGCTGAAGGACAGGCCCACAGAGCCTCTTCCAGAGGGAGGGGAGCTGCAGCCATCACCATTACTTCTCCCTGGCCCTGGGCCAACCCTAATGAGCAAACTCAGAACAAAGAACACATTGTTTCTAGAGCAAAACCCTTCTTCTCTTCAGAAGACAAGCAACTGACATTTCTTTCCTATGCTGCACAAAACCCCCTCAAAAATCCCACCAACAACCATGTAGTTATCGTGCAGAAGCCAAAGAAATAATCGAGTAGTGGCTTCCTGGGCTGTCCTGCTGTTTCTTCCTCACAGCCTTAACGGGTGCTTTCTATTGTCAGGCTTCCACTCTTCAAGGAGCAGCCGCTGCCACGAGGGCGCACCCCCACTCCAGCTGACATCCCAGCCTCCGCCCTTCCTGTTTGGGTGGCCCTGCTACCCCCTAAAGCTGCTGCCTGCCTGCACCCGGCAGGGCCCCTCTCCCACCACCGCCTCTGGGGCACACTCTGGGCCCCCGGTTCTGCATCTGCCCTGTGCGCTCTTTGCCCCAGGACAGGCGTGGATGCCATGAGTAGGTGGGGCAGGTGCTCTGGTCCTGCCTTGCTCATCACCATGTGTCTACCTGAGAGACTCCAGGAAGCTGGCTCTCATCTCAGCAGGCACCAAACTCCAGCAAAGCTTCTCCATGCCAGGCAGAAGGGGTCTGACTTTCGTCACAGGTGGAGTCACCCATGGGCACAGAGGTATGAGAGAACAAGCGGGAGCCAGGGGCGTCTGTGGAGGACGGTTCAGAGCAGCCTGGGCCTCAGGACAGGCTCGATCCAGTTACAAATCCTACATGGTCCTATTTGTGAAATCAGTTTTTGCAGTGACGTTTCAATGCTGGTTTTATAGTTCCTTGGTTTCAAAAATAAAACCAAACTAACAAGAAAAATCTCAAGTTCCTCAAACTGAGCAAATAAATAACAGTAACAACATTTACATGGGTCTCCCATATCGGGACTCCAGCATGACAGAGGAGTGGAGACACTGGGAGCTGACAGATGGAGTGGAGTGAGGTGGGGCCTCTTCTCAAGTCTGGGGAGGCAAGGAGGGCAAGAGGTGCTGACTAGCTGTCAAAACACACACACACACACACATCCCCATTCTCCCAGCAGCGCGGTCAGGGTCCCTGTTGTGAGCTGCTCCGTATCTGATGAGGAGCTGCTTCTGGGGGTTCCCGGTGCCTTCTCTGACTGCTGGCACAGGCTGGGGATGCCAGCAGCTCTGTCCCAGGGAGCACAAAGCTTTCCAGGTCAGCTGCTGGTCTCAAGCCCCCTTCCAGACAGGACAAGGGGCCCAAGATCAGAAACAGTCTCTCTTACCCCAGGCTATGTGACAAGGGAGATGTGGAATTCGTTTGTGTCGAAGATCAGGGGCCTCTTGGGAGGGTTTGGGTCCCTGTCAGCCTTGTGGAGCAGCTTGAAGAGCCCGGTTCCAATGTTCATTGGGATTCCCATGATGATGCATTCAGACACTCCTGAAACCAGTCAGAGTGGAGATTAGAGAGTGTCTCAGATGCAGGAGGGAGAGATTATTGACTTAGGAGTTGAAAATCAGGATTTGAGTACCAGCTTCACTCACATCAACTGGTTTCACTTGGGCAAGTTGCTTCGCCACCCGTCTCTCCAATGAGGGTGGCTGCATGGCCGTGCTCAGGACCATGCTCCTACAGGACTCCTGGAGGGAGCTTATGCAGCGTCAGGGAAGGGACGGTGCCTGCTCACAGCCAGGCAGCTGGGGGCTCAACCAGTTCTCCTCTCCCATCTGAGCCAGGGGCAACTGGTAGGACCCACCTTTGGGAACACTAACTCAGACAGCCCGGATACTGAATGATGCTTCCTGGGAACCCTGAGTTTGCCACCCCTACTGTAGGGCCTAGAAGAAAAGCAAGTAACTGGGGACTGTGGTGTGCAGAGCACCAACCCACTGGAAACAGCAGCAGGAAGCTATTAGCTGTGCTCAGGGCTAGGGGCTGGGCCATGCATCACAGCGCACCGAGCCCTGGAGACCCACAAGCCTAGTCAGAAACACTGCAGAGGCAGGGCTCCTGTGGAGCTGAAGATGCAGGGGGCAGGGGGCAGATTCCTTCTCCAGGCTGTGTTTCAGCTTTTATAAGACACAAATGTTGGGCTTTGCATTAGGCTTTTGATTCCACAGCAAGCAATTAAGAGCCTACTATGTTCTCGGTCCATGCCATCAGGGAACATAGAGGACTCCAACCAAACTAAAAATCAGAGCGCAGTGCAGACCAGTCCTGACTGACAATGTGCTCAGTGACCAGAGAAGGGGGGATTTCAAAGTAGGGGTGGGTGGTGATGCCAGGCTCCCCAAGGACAGGGAGCTGGTGGTGGGTGGGCTGTAGGAGGGCTCTGGGCTGCAGCAAAGGCACAAGGCCCAGCTTCCTGGTGTTGGGCTTGGGGCGGCTGGGTTTTACACTCGTTCTTTCTTCTGCCTTGGCCTTCTCCTACCAGATCTCCCTCTCCCTTTTCTTTCTTTTCACCCATCTTTATTCTACAGAAGGATACCGTTTCTCTTTCCTTCCACCTCAGACCTGGATCCCCTATGAAAGGAGGAAGCCAAGTTTAAATTAATCTTAGGAACAAAAATTGGCATATGTTCTGACTGAGGCCCTCACTGACCATCAACTGTGGGCAAATCCATACATGAGTGGGAGGTGAGACAGGAAATGGCCATCAGGAAACAGCCTTACAGGTGAGAACGGCAGCCAGGTTTGGGCCTGACTTGCGTGTGAGCCTGGGCAGGCTATTTGACATCCCCAGCCCCTCGCCCACTCCTAGCTGGGGCCTGCAGGGTCTCACTGCAGAGTCAGAAGAGCATGAGTAAACGCCCTGCCCAGCCAGTAAAGCTGGGAGGTGGCAGACACTTTGTTGTTACTGCTCCCTCATGCTCCTCTTCCTCCCAGCCCAGAAGCAGGCCTGGGAGAGGCCAGCACAGCCCAGCGGAGACGCAGCGTGTGGGTGTGTGTGTTGTGGGGGCAAGGAGATGAGGCACAGCGCAGACCCAGGCTCTGCCATCTGACTGACCTTGGCCTTCTCGTTCGTGAGAGGGGCAACACGGATGTCTCATGGGTTTGCGGGGATACTTGTTTAGCACACGGGGCTGTTCCCGGGGAGGCGAAGATGGCATGACAACTGCCTCTCCTTGGGAGCCAGAACAGCAGGACCGTTCTGCTGCCCCTCGGGCTGCTGTGGCTCTGCCCGTCCTGGGAAACCTTGACACCACACCAGGTGTGGGATCAGTGGGGCGGGCTACAATTTCAAGAGTAAGGAAAATCCCTACATGCCCAGGGCAGATCTTTTCTTCTAGGACCCAAAATGGCCTGCTCTTGCAACTGTACTGACAGAGAGAAGCCTCTGACAGACGCAGTGGGTATAGAACCCTCTAGTCAGGCTTTAAGGACAAAAGAGCAATCAGCTCCAATTCCACAGTCTATGACTCAGCTTGTTCATTGTCCTCCAAGAAGCCCCAGGCCCCATCTACACTGTAAGGACGGAAGCCCCAGGCCCCGTCTACACTGTGAAGGACAGAAGCCCCAGGCCCCGTCTACGCTGTGAAGGACGGAAGCCCCGGGCCCCGTCTACGCTGTGAAGGACGGAAGCCCCGGGCCCCGTCTACGCTGTGAAGGACGGAAGCCCCGGGACCCGTCTACGCTGTGAAGGACGGAAGC